TGTATGTCTTTTTTATTATATGGTTAATATCCGAAAAGCTAGTAGTTTTAAAGATAATTCGATTTTTAAGAAAAATTGGGTATTTGCAAGCGTCAGTATATTGTCAAAATTATTACTGAAATTTTGATTCCAGGTTTTATATCTTTTATCCCGGGTTAAGTAAAAGTCAAATAAATACATCTACTATGAAACAAAAAATATAGCTTACAGGGTGTTTTTTTGGTAGGTCCAAAGTTGCAAAACTTCATATTAAAAAATCTCACCTTTTTAACTGGAACGCCCTGTATATTTTTCTGTCATTATTTAGATCCTCCAAAAACCTTCAATTTTTGATAATAATGTCCTATATCTATCTCTGATAGTTTTCGAAATAGGTATCTTGGTTTTCCTGGGTTTTATATTCTAATCTTGAATATGTTATATGTAATTTACATAATAGTGAGGTGGACATGCAAAAAAGGGCAATTTTTATCTATCTCGTCCAAAACGAAAATCATATCGATTAATTTATTTTTCAAACTATTTTAAGTCCAAAAACTGGAGAATAAGTAAAAACATTTGACTATAAAGCAAATTTAATTTAACTCCTAATGTCATCCAGCCAGTGATATTAGTTTCATTTTTTTTCATATTCACCTCGTTATTATGTAAATTAGAACTTATTTCAGATTAAAATATAAAAAGTCGAGTAAAAAGTAGAAAAACCAAGATATTTGTTTATGTTTTTACTACCTATCAAATTTATTGTCTAGTTTTTATACACTTAAACGAATTATTATAAAAATGAATTAATAAATATGATTTTAGCTTTGAACGAGGCAGATAAAAATTGCCTTTTTTTGCATGGTCACCTCACTATTATGTAAATTACATATAACATATTTAACATTAGAATATAAAACCCAGGAAAACCAAGATATTTCGAAAACTATCGTTAAAGGTTTTTGGAGGAGCGAAATGATGACAGAAAAATATACAGGGTGTTCCATTTAAAAAAAGTGAGATTTTTTAATATGAAGTTTTGTAACTTTGGATCTAGAAAAAAACACCCTGTAAGCTATTTTTTTAATGTTTTATAGTAGATGTATTTATTTGACTTTTACTTAACCCAGGATAAAAGATAAAACCTGGAATCAAAATTTAAGTAATAATTTTGACAATATACTGACGCTTGCAAATGCCCAATTTTTCTTACAAATCTAATTATCTTTAAAACTACTAGTTTTTCGGATATTAACCATATAATAAAAAAGACATACAATTACAGGTAGAATTCAAAAATGCATTCAAATACAGAGGATTCTATTTAAAAAAATGTACCATTTGGGTGCCCTACTTTGTGGGCGCACCCTGTATAATTCCAAATATTTTTAAAATGTGAAGAATATTCAACCACATCATAATACAAAAGCACTCTATCGAAAAGTCTTATCTTCAAGGCATTAAGTTACTCCGCGCAATCGTTGACTCACCCTGTACAACTGATTCATGGGCATGCCGCCGCCAGGTCTACCCGAATTATCCGAAAAACACGTTATTGTTATGTAGGTAAGCACACCACTTTGCCTTAAGTAGTAATTCAGATGTAGGCGGTTATTATAATTATTATCAAAGAAGGACTTTTTCGCATCATTTTTCTTGCTGTTTTGCGAATTTTGCATAGATAAAAGTAAAACCTGAAGGGGTTACACAGAATGAGATAAGTACCTAAGCATTTTCCGAATAATGAATCAAATCCACCCATGTAAATCAGATTTACCTATGGAGGATCTATAAAGGATCTAAATCATTTTAGGACGATCTTGATTTAGGTACGGATCTTTGATCTAGATCTAGATCTAGAATTAAAGGATCTTGCCCAACATCGGTCGCAGTCCAGATACAACTCCTTATCTCGCTGCCACCTGTGTGGTAGTCTGTGGTAGTCTTTGGCAACTGGTAGTCTTTCGTACAACATTTTGCTCATGTATTACCTACCCCCTCGGCGTGTCGTGCCTCGGTTTTCAGTTTCCTCTGGCGCTTTTTCGTTTTTGTCCTGCGCCCCTTGAATTACGAGATTATTTCCTCTTACCTATCTTTCTAACGCATCGATTCTTCATCCTTCTTCTTACTTCCATCAGTTCCTTTATTACCTTTGGGTTACTATCTAGTTTAGCCTCCTTTGATGTTAATTTCGCATTTGCTTGACTTCTTCCATTTTCCTCCGTTTACACTGTCTCCCCTGCTATCCCGAATTTACGCTTACTCGTCTGCCAGCTGGAACGAAGGGGCAGCTTCGGTTCAACCCGAGGTTCAATCCCTCGGAGAGGCTATCCTGATTCGCCACTCAGGACCGTACTCAAAGTCTCCAAATCTTGAGTACGAATAGAAAAATCTGACATGAACGATCTATCCGTGTCGCACAATAGGTTCGAATAAACACACAATTAATTGATTGACAATAACAAAAATTTATTCCGTATTAAATGAAAATTCAAACAAAATTCCTGACAGAAAAAGAAGCTTACAAAGCTTATTTGGACATAAGTAGTGCTCCGCACGCAGACGGTCGATAATTAAAAATAAGAAAATCTTAAAATTACCTAGTTTTTTCCTCTTTTAATAATCCTAATAATCTGGTCGTGAAATCGAGTCTTCTCTGGAACTAGTAATCGGATTTGAAAACTAAAAAGTGCTGAAAATAATATGAACATATCTTTCGAACTATCTAACGTTTACCACCCCTTCCCTGGGGTGCAATTCATCCACTTCTCAGACTTGAAGTTACGTAAACAATATAAAATTGACGGACTCGGCATTGACTGTTTTGACCACCCTGTATAGTAAAGCTACCGTGACTTTTTAGTTGTCTCAATTCACCTTTGCACAATCGCGAGATATTGGATACCCCTCGAGATACCCTTTAACCTTTCAATCTCCCCAATACGATAAACTCTGTAATAGCCTAGTGCTAGGCTTCCAACCGCTTCGTGATGATTAAAACATGCTTGGTGCCGCTGTTACTAAAAATGACGATGCAATGTAAGTTGCCTTCCTTCAAAAACAACATAATAGAGGTAAATGATGAAAATCAAACAATAAGTAGAGCATTTCACATGACACCATTCTATTAAAAGGTAAGATTTCCAGAATAACTGCAGAATATCAAGCTATTCAAGATTTAAGTAAATTACCTCGTAAATTACGGTACAGTTCAGGGAATTTCAAGCAGATTTCGTATGTCCTTTCGCAATACCAGCATCGAGATTGTAAGAGAGGTGCCTTTATCAACCTGCCAGCTATTACGCACCTAAGGTTCGTTAGAAATGAAATAGAGTTCGTCGACAGAGACACCTTTTTAGAATTAAGAAATTTGCAACTGTTGAATGTGGCTGAGAACAAATTAAAAAGTTTTGACTTTAATTTCTACACCCCTTCGAAATTGTTTAGTGTTGGTATTGACAAAAATAACATAACGAACATATCTGATGAAGTGCTGGACGTAATAGGTCCCACATTATCGTATCTTGTCATAACCGATAATCCTATACAAACAGATGATTGTCCATTCTAATGACATCCGTCATTCTTATTTCAAATGCATGATAACCGAGATGATAACAAATGGCGTTCAGAACATATGACAATTCTGTTTCTATGGAAATATTCTAGAGACCTCTTCCTGATTTTCGTTGCAATGGTGCCTTCTCAGCGGTTGCTATCATGTTGCAACATAGCGATAGCTAGGAATGAGTACCTATACAGTGCTATTTATTAAAAAGTAGACATGGGGATTTACGTGTATTGTTTTCTCCTATGATAAATGACAAAATGCAGATGTTTATTTGTTTTAAAAAGTTATTTTAGTTGCATAAAATTAGGCGCCCTTCAGAAGGATTTTGTCATTTAAAAGTAGACTTAGGGAAAAACCGAGGGAAAAACAATATATGTAAATCCCTCGGTAAATTCCGAGGTAAATTCCTATGTGTACTTCTTAATAAGTAGCACTGTATATCATGGACATACTCGAATTGGACTAGATTAGAGTAACGGAGTGGGTAAACAGATTTATTAGAGAGATTTCATACAATTGGTCCACTTTTTACAGTACCTAGGGAATTTGCCCGGTAATTTGTTTGCAGTGATGAGCAGAAAATTTTGATCAAGGCAGGCTGTGTCCACCATGAAGTTTGAATAAATTTGGAAATCACCCCCGAATTTGTTTGGGAAAATTCTTTCTTTCCGCAACAAAGAGCGACGTGGACCTATACTTTATCCAACAAAAAAGTTGACTTTGGGTTTGTGTCCCCTCTGGCCTGATAAAACTTGTTGGTTTAAACATCATTAACATTCCCACCCACGCTAAAAGTTATGCAAACAAAATCCTTAAAGGCTGGTAGGTAGACTACTTTAGTCTCATTGATTTTCCTTCCTACCTGGCCATGAATACAATTAAGACAAAGATGTATCGTATACGTCAGTAGGAGAGAATTTTCGAGTATTTCAAATGGCAGCCGCCAACAGGTACGGCATTTATAATGAGTCATTTTCGGGAAAAAATGGATCGACTTTTACCTATCGAAAGGCAAAAAGGTTTTGTCTGCAACGGGGATGATCTCTCCCTCATTTACAAACGGTTCAATAGTTCAACCTGTTTCACTTGTAATAACCTAATGCTGCCAGCGAGGCTGCCAGTATCGTCACAGTAGGCATATCTGGGAAAGGTAAACAACCCTGGTACGTCTTTTGTCACCCATTAACCAATCAAATCATCGCGTTTCTTCGCGCCACTAAATTAGTAGCCTTTAACAACAAATTAATAGGAACTTGCATTTCCTAACATAACAAAGATAAAGTAAATATAATCTTGCCGCTAAAATAAACAATAGAAACTGACGTAAGGTCATTGTTTGCTTTTTATCACAACGAATTCCTGATAAGAAATTCCCAGTAAGTAAATTTCCGAAAACATTATCTATCTACCGTCCGCCTTATAAAAGTTAAATAAAACTGAAACCAACCTTTTACTGCAACAAAAAACTTCCTCAGTAAATCCCGAAAAGCTTCATCTTCCTTGCACGTTTAATTATTTACGAAAACAAACAGGAATTCCTCCAATAAAAACGGGGGTTCATTCCATTCACACAATTTTTACACACCCTACGAACAACCCTTTAATATTTAAACGATTTATAACACAGAGTCAACGTAAAACGGCACAGTGCATTAATTTACGTTAATTTTATCGCGTTTAACATCGAAATACACGACGGTTTTTATCATTTTCTTTAAAGGCATCGGAAGACAAAGAGAAAAACGCAAGAACCACACTACAATGTCGTTTCACTACTGCTAAGGAAAGGAAAACAAAATTCGTATAAAGGTAAACGATTCGGTACGTCATCTATCGACGAACGCGACTAATAGGTCCGGTTTTATAGGTTTCCTATCTATTTTTAAACTGTTTACGTCGGAAGTTGAATATTTGCCTTTCAAATCCGTCTCGTTTTGAAGGTTTTAGTTGGGATTTAATTAGTAGGTTGTGTGCAAGCTGTTAATTTTTAAAGTTTGGCGATGACGATTTACCTCGCTGTTAGGCAACACACAATACAATTCCCATGCATATAAAATAATAATATGCGTTTGTCTTCCCATGGTATCTCGTTTTGAGTTTGACTTTAGGTCAGCTTCATCACAACTAAGCCCCATTGTACAAATCCCTCTCTTTGGCAACTAGGTTCAGAGCTCGGGACCCTGTTGCTTCACCCCTCCATGGTTCCAGATATGTGTACCGGGCTGGGGGGGGGGGGGGTTATTCAATATCCCCCAGTAGACGACAGCTTCATTGCCATTTCCAGAATACCACCATAAGGGAATTCTGAGGTTTATAGGGAAAGGATTATCGAGTACTACCTCTTTGATGGGCGATGTTCGACCCCCGCCGTTTTAACATAATTTTCCCGAAATGGTCATCGCCATTTTCGTCTGATGGACACCCCTCAGACCCCCCCCCCCCCGGTGTAATTTCATCCGTCTCGTCAAAGAACCTAGAACACAGCCCAATATTGTGCAGTAGGTGATAGTAGACCATCCAGTGCCTTTATTGTTAGGACCAGGATAATCTTCCTAATGTAGCCTCTATATTCAGTTTTAGAAACTTAAAGGCCTCCGATTTGTCCAGTGGCCCAGATAAGAAGGCCCTAAACTGTCCGAGTCCAGTTGCTCGTTGGCACTGAGCCTGAAATTTACTGATCACCTTAGCCCTGACAACAGAGGGGCAATTTTTAGGACGAAATCGGGCCCAAGGAAGACCCTCGTACTGCCTTCGCGAGTCAACTGCCCCCCCCCCCCTATTCCACAGTGCGCAGGTACCTAGATCAAACTTACCTTATTTCATTACTAATACGAAAGTTAATTTTATTTTAATTACACACCCAGCGTGTAATACTTTCATTTATTGGTTCTTGTTATCTTAAAAACATTATTATTATTGGCTTAAGTTGTCCCCTTTAATTTTGTGCAGGTTAAAGGTTTGCAATAGGAAACAGATCTCTGGACAGTGGCGGATTAAACCCTTTAGAGGCCCTAAGCACAACGTCCTTTTGAGGCCCCTCTCCTAATAAAAATTCAAAATTTTTAAACATTTTTTAATCAATGTGAAATTTAATTTTGATTATGGTATAATTACATATATTGACCGTTTTATAATGATCAGGTCTGAAAAACTGAACTGTTTACTCACATCACCATTCAATCATAACCGAGGTCTTACTTTCCCTTCTACTTTAATATTAATTGATGTAAAGTAGGGTTCTAATTCAAACATTGACTAAAATTTAACGTTTTATTGCAATATTAAGGCCCCTATAAACTATTAAAACTTATAAGGGAACTTTTCCGGATTTAAGGCAAGAAAACTGGCCAATGAGCAATTTATAGTCCAATAATTGTACAATATCAGCCTCAATAAACATGACGGACAGATTATTTAAGTTACTTTGGCCAAGAGAATTTCGTAAATGATTTTTTACTCGTTTAAGACAGGAAAAGGATCGTTCGCCACTAGCGTTACAAATAGACATGGTTAAAAATATTTTCAAAACAGTTTCCACATTAGGGAATGTAGATTGCAGCCCGTCAAGTAATACTTTATACATCTGGACACAATGGCTTTGCAATCCCACAATAGTCTAGTGGTTTTAGAGATTGTCGGTGTCGTTTACAAATTCCAGGACATACAATAAACAAAAATCAATTTTTCCCAGAGATTTTTTCTTGCTAGTTATTAGTTTTGGAGGGCCCCAGACAAGATGAGGCCCCAAGCACGAGCTTATTGTGCCTGTGCGGTGATCCGCCTCTGTCTCTGGATCTTGCAAAGTCCCATGAAAGAATATACGTTAAAATAAAGCATTTTTGTACTTTTTTTGCGATTAGATGCTCTAATTTTTCAACTATTAACTTTACATTCAGCATTTCAGCGAATTTAAGATCATTTAAAAACCAAGTTAGTGAAAGAATAACGGCATTATGGGATAAGTATGAATATTTTAACAACCTCCTATTTGAGATCACAAAAAATGATTCTTTATACATACCTTCTCATTTAAAATTGTGCCTAAATGTAACAAAATTAAACAAATTTAGGTATGAACAGTCCGTTCTTTTACGATAAGCCCGAAAAATTTGAAAAAATAACCACTTATGACATCTAACGTGAGAGTAATCAATTGAATGTTTACTATCCCCAAAAAAATGCAAGAAATTATATTATTGTTGATGACCATTCCCCAATGAATAGGTATTGTTTATTCATTGCCATTCCCTTTGGTTCGTTTTATTTGCGATAAATATTCGAACAATAGAATTTTAGTCCAGTTTAGAAGAATAACGTTAGATGTCGCAAGTATTTATTTTACGAATTTTACGAAATATTTGGCGCGTTTCTAAAAAAATCAGATAAAATACCCCATTCTGTGATTACCTTTACATTATTTAGTGCATAGTAATAGCTTTGTTCACTTATAAACAAAAGGTAATAACTAGATTACACATAATTTGTCACGAATATAATTACAGTGGTTTCGTCCTCATAATTGCGTTCTTATTTCACTTACTTACTTTTTTGTAAATAAATAACAGAAATCCTGTTGTTTCTTAGGTTTAAATTGTGGAAATATCTTTGCACTTAAAAGTTTTACTGACGGCATGGTCCCACTATTGCAGCCATAGTGTCAAATGAGACTTCATCGTCTTGGGCTGTGCGATCAGAAGGCTGGTAGATCTCGACCAATGTGAAAGTGTACAAAAGAAACTCAAATCCACTCCTACAATAATAGTAGAATATATCATTGAAATTCTATTAAAGACTATTTCATATTTTATATACAATCAGTAATTATAACAAAATTTCAGCTTGCAGGTGTCCATTTATCTTCGTAATTTTCTATTAGGAGACTTTTGCAACGTCTAGCGCGTAGGCTGAAACTCTGGCTTTTGGGAGCGATCTGTAACACCTCGACTCGCGCAACGTTCAAGAAATTGGGATTATTGGTGTCGATTTCGCGTACTATGTCGATCTCGTCGCCTTCCTGTACTGGATCGCTTTTCTTCAGCAACTTCTTACCGTTTATTCTAATTTTACTTTCGTAAAACGCCTCGTCCACTTTGCTCCTTGATATGTGCAGGCAACTTTTTAGCACGACATCGGCTCGCAGTGAAGAAACCCTTAAAGTTGTGACCTTTGTTTGTTTGTCAACGATGAGATTGTCGAAGTCCTCGATTTCCTCCTCGGTCTCCTCTTCATCCTCCGATTCTTTTTGCTTTTGCTTGCTACCTTTGCTTTTGAATCTGCTAATTGCTGAAGACACTAAAGGCGTTGTCGAGGTTAGGACTGGTGTCGGGAATTTGGTGGTTGCCAACGAGTATAATCGTACCCCCAATTGTCGACGAGGGATTAACTTTAGTAGGGTTCTGCAGTTCACTGGTAATGACATTATTTTAATTAATTAAAAGCTGCTCTTATTTATTAACAAGGCCATGATTTGGATATATGAACTACATAAGCTATTGGAACTACAGCAGGCAATTGATTGAAACTATTACCAGTAATTGGTTAGAACTACTACGAACAATTCGGACTACTCGCAATACACCTAGAATATCTACAAATTATTAGCGCTTTTTTCAATAGAAAGGTCTTTATTATCCGAGCTTTACATGTTTAATCCTTCAGTTCAAATTCATTAAAGGAATTTAAATTCCTTGCACTTCATAACTATATAATATCAAGCACTTTATTCCGGTGTGTTGGGAGAATTTTTTGGTTCTCCTAAATTTTATAGATTTCCTGGCCAAACGTCATCTACAGCTACACGATATGCTAGAAATTCACAAAGTGCATAAAGTCTTAATAAACATCCTCTGTAGACTGTAAATAATTCTTTTAATTAAATTTATTGATTTCTTCTCATTGTTGAAGAGAAAGCCGGCAGATAGCGCTGACAGTATTAAATTAAATAAAAAAGTACGAATTGATTAGGATTCTACGCACCAAAATTAATAAGAAAAAGTGTTTTCCCGAGAAATTTTGGTGCAGTCGATTTTTGGTAAAAAAGGAAGGTTGTACACTGCCTTTTTTTGAGGCCCGAAGAAAAAATTGTATCCGATCGACCCGGAAAAGAATTTTTCTTATAGAATGTGGCCTGTAGAATCCATAATTTCAAACAGTTCCAAGATTGGGCTACTAGTTCAAAAGTTACAGCCCTTTGAATTTTTTTTCGACATTGGTTTCTAGTCTATAACTTTTGATTGAGAAGTCTAATCGAAAAAGTACGAATTGTTTTGGATTCTACGCACCAAAATTAATAAGAAAAAGTGTTATCCCGAGAAATTTTGGTGTAGTCGATTATATTGAAGTACAATTGCTCTACAAATTAAATGAAATTGCACATTTTCAACTGCCCTTTAAGGCAAATTGAGTCGGACGTGGCTATTAAGTGCATAAATTAAAATGTTCTTGTGAAGGAAATGTTGTTCGTGGCGACATCTCATTGTAACTAGTTCAACTATTACAAGAATTAAATTTGGAAAAGTATAGGGATTACCGAAGAGATGGCGCAAATGTACCAAATGCGTACACAAATTAAAGACAATTCCAGATACTTGAGATACTGGATCATTGAAGTACATTTGCTCTACAAATCCTACATGAAATTGCACATTATCAACTGCCCTTTAAGGAAATGGCCTGTAGAATCCATAATTTCAAACAGTTCCAAGATTGGGCTACTAGTTCAAAAGTTACAGCCCTTTGAATTTTCTTTCGAAATTGGTTTCTAGTTTATAACTTTTGATTGAGAAGTCTGATCGAAAAAGTACGAATTGTTTTGGATTCTACGCACCAAAATTAATAAGAAAAAGTATTTTCCCGAGAAATTGCAGTTATTGATTGGAGAAGAACAAATTATATCGTACCTACCAATTGAAAAATTCATCGTTCGGTATAGTTTGAACTACAAAAAGAGAGTATTTTGTCCGCAAAAGATAATGGTAATAAAACAACAGGCCAGGCAAAGTGCAGTGTCACACTTTTGTTTACCGGATTATTCGATTTTCCCTGGAAATTGAATTTTCGTGTTTCCAAATCGAACGTGTTTGGAAAAACAATGCTATATTTACACATACGACGAAGCCTTTTTTATATTTTAATACTTGTTACCATTTCACGTTAATTTCCCTATTTAAGAGACACATTTTCTCGTTGATGTTCAACCGACATTAAATATCGAACTTATTTGCTCGGAGCTTTCTGTTACTTTAAAATATGTTTCTTTTTCCCCGGCTTGTACTACCCTAGTAATGACCTCATTATTTTAATACAGACATTACGTCGTATTCAAATAAAAAGTGCTTTAAATATTTACGTTTTCAGCTTTTGGGGAATGTAATTAAAATTTTACGGCATTTTAAACTTCCATCCAGCATTTATTCAACATGTACAAAATTTATTTGTGTATAGATTATTGGTTCAAGTTGAAATGGAAAAGGAAAAGGCACTTCATCTACCTACTTCAGGTCGCAAACTTATTTTCATTCATTGAGCAGAATGATCATTAACACTATTTACCTTTCCTAAGAACACGAAGGCACTAAATGCCTAAGATCGAAATTGACTAGAGTCGTTCGAGCCCTCATGGTAACCCGAGGTTCTTTCTTGAACCCTGTGCAAAAACGTGCCAAGCTACGAGATGGTCCTTTGCGGGCTTCTCTCGTATGGCGACAATCTATGTTCCATCTAGCCCCGTGTTGGGTTTAAGTGCATTGAGTTATTAAGTTGCTTACAGTAGCAACTGTAAGTGGAAGAGCTGACTTCAAGTGCCTTTTTAGGATGGACATGAAAACTTTTAAAAGCTGCTTTTCAATCAAGGAAATAGCAATACTTCACGAATAGAAGAAGTTACAACCCTCCAAACCCCACGACAGTACAAAATGTCCATAAAAAATTACATAATACAAAAACGGCAAGGGTGCATGACTTCGTGTGCCTTTTTAGGGTTGATATTTAAACCCTTTAAATATAAAAAATCAAGGAAACAAAGATATTTGACCCACCGCAGAAGTTACACCCTTCCAAAAGCCACAGCAATACTAAATAAGACTCAATTTTTATGAAAAATAGCGGAACATACAAACGGCGAGGGTGCATGTCTTCGTGTGCCTTTTTAGGGTTGATATTTAAACCCTTTAAATATAAAAAATCAAGGAAACAAAGATATTTGACCCACCGCAGAAGTTACACCCTTCCAAAAGCCACAGCAATACTAAATAAGACTCAATTTTTATGAAAAATAGCGGAACATACAAACGGCGAGGGTGCATGTCTTCGTGTGCCTTTTTAGGGTTGATATTTAAACCCTTTAAATATAAAAAATCAAGGAAACAAAGATATTTGACCCACCGCAGAAGTTACACCCTTCCAAAAGCCACAGCAATACTAAATAAGACTCAATTTTTATGAAAAATAGCGGAACATACAAACGGCGAGGGTGCATGTCTTCGTGTGCCTTTTTAGGGTTGATATTTAAACCCTTTAAATATAAAAAATCAAGGAAACAAAGATATTTGACCCACCGCAGAAGTTACACCCCTCCAAAGGCGACAGCGGCACTAAAGAAGATTCAATTTTCATGAAAAATTACGGAATATACGAACGACGAGTGTGCATGTTTTCGTGTGCCTTTTTAGGGTTCATATTAAACCCTTTAAATATACAAAATCAAGGGAGCAAAGATATTTGACCCACCACAGAAGTTACACCCCTCCAAAGGCCACAGCAGCACTAAAGAAGATTCAATTTTCATGAAAAATTACGGAATATACAAACGACGAGGGTGTATGTCTTCGTGTCGCCTTTTTAGGGTTGATATTAAACCCTTTAAATATCATCAATCAAGGGAACAATGATATTTGACCCACCGCAGAAGTTACACCCCTCCAATGGCCACAGCAGCACTAAAGAAGATTCAATTTTCATGAAAAATTACGGAATATACAAACCACGAGGGTGCATGTCTTCGTGTGCCTTTTTAGGGTTGATATTAAACCCTTTAAATATAAAAAATCAAGGGATCAAAGATATTTGACCCACCACAGAAGTTACACCCTCCCAAAGGTCACAGCAGCACTAAAGAAGATTTAATTTTCATGAAAAATTACGGAATATACAAACGGCGAGGGTGCATATCTTCCTGTGCCTCTTTAGGATCGATATTAAACCCTTTAAACATAATCAATCAAGGACATACAAATATTTGACGCACCGTAGAGGTTACACTCCTCCAAGGACACGACAGATCGAATTTTTTTAAAAAATTACGGAATATAATAACGGCGAGGGCACATTTCTCTTAAGTGCCCTTTTAGGGTGGATATTAATCCCTTTAAATTAAATCAATCAAGGAAGCAAGAACATTTGATGCACCGCCCAAGTTACACCCCGCCAGAGGACAGGACAATACTAAATAAAATTTAATTTTGATACGCAATATAAAAAAGAGGGGGATGTCTATTTTACTGTATATTTATTTTTTTGGTACATATACTGTTTCAAACCCATATAGAGATCTCAAGAAAAAAATGGGAAATGGGAATTTAGCGCAATAATTTAGCGCAATCGGCTAATCAGCCTCATTTGTTTTTTATTCTTCATACCTAAAGGTCAAGCCACCTCCTTAAATCCGTTCCATCTCGTTTATCCCCGGCGATTCTTGAAACACGGCTACGTTATATCGCACATGGCGTAGTTAATAAATAAAGTCAATTAATTTGTCCGATATCGCCTTTACAAAGCATCTGGCCAGATAAGACTTATCTTAAGCCGAAATTATGCCCTTATTTAACGAATAAACTTACATGACTTAAACAATTACTAAATTTACAATTAAAAAACAAAGATTTTCAATGACAATTTATTAAATTTTCAAATTCTGTGTCTTCTTGAACAAAATTCCCCCAGGTCCTGTTAAATAAATTGAGACATTTTACATACAGGATGTCCTGACTGCTATTTCCAATGCGTAAACCGGAAATTACGTTGACAACACGTAAATTTTTCACTACAGGGTGGCTCGCTTTGCTCTTCGGCATTAATTCCGCGCACTCGGTAATACCATTGAATAAAAATAGTGTTTTTATTCAATGGTAATACCAAGAGACCACGATTGATATTGAAATTTTAACTTCAGATGCTTCTAACAAGAGGAAATATAGCGCCCATGTTTAAACTTTATGAAGATATTCCTTTGAGATATTAACTACGCTTTAATCATAAAGATGCTCGGTTTGCTTGTGACATTATAGTCTTTCTGGAAGTACGAACGATCTGTGCATGGAAAATGCGCTAAACAATTACTCTTCTTAGGGCTTATGTTTAACGGCCACAGAAAAGTGTTTCCTATACCTGCACTCGGATTACTCAAATAGCGCATAATTTAAAAAGTTCTTCAATTTATGGAGCGGGTTTGGCCTTTAATCAAGTAAGTTATACCTAGACCATTCACGCTTTTAGAATAATTATTTTTAATGAGACCATTATCTATTATGAATAATTAAAGTTTGAGTATTGTAATTAATGATGAGAGAGCGATATCCCTAAACAATTACATTACCAGCGTCCGATTTGCTGCCACGGACAATATACATTTTGGTCAACCGCACTTGTGCGTCAGCGGGATGAGAATTACGGAAGCACGATTTATTCCTAATATAGATTCCTGGACGGTACAGTAACCGCTAATGTATAAAGGTGACCATTTCTCCATGCTCCAATTTTCGATTTTTGGTTTATTCGTTAGAAACGCACTTCATAGTACCTAAAGGATTCGCACGGTTCGTAAAAGGCTAACTCGCCACCCCCAATCAACTCAAAAATTGTTTTTTTTAAGGAGAGCCTTAATACCTCAAAAACTAAAATTGTGGGGCAGGATTCCTAGACAAAAGGGAAAAGGAATACAAGCTTTAGATTTTTTTAAAATTTGCTTACTTTCAACAATTGGAAAACGAGGCGTTTTTTGAAAAAATGTATAGAAACAAATTTTGTGAGGCTCCGATTTTGAAGATGATAAAACTACATCATCAACCAAACACTTTTACTTTTTGAATACAGTGTGCTTATGCGTTGAAAAGTGCACGGATGATCTCTTGATATATTTCAATACCTTTCAAAAATACGTTCACGTTTAAGAACTCGTCATTTGAGTGCGCCATAATCGGACTGTCTTGATTTGGAGAAAATCCGAAGGTCGGAATCAAGGCTTCCCGGAAAAATCTTGCATCAGAATTAGCTGGTGAAAGTATCGGGTTAACTCCATAACCCCTACAATTAACAATCTGGGCAAAAAAGGTTTTGATGTGATACTTACATTGCATGCACGGCCTCTTTGAAAGCAACCCAAAATATATTTGAATTATCGATTGGGGTGTTTGGATGTTTTCCACCTTTATGCACGTCTTCGAGCCAAACACCAGCACCCGCGTTTTTACACCATTGATGGACCTTCCTTTCAAACCCTTCAGAGTCGTCCATTGGCACCCGCGTGTCAAACACCAGCGCCAATTCGTTGGGGATTACATTATTTTTTATGCCTCCCTAAAATCGGTTTTGAGTTATGCCTGCAGTACAACCCTGGTTACAGCCCTTTGAATTTTCTTTCGAAATTGGTTTTTAGTCCATAACTTTTGATTTGGATTCTACGCACCAAAATTAATAAGAAAAAGTGTTTTCCCGAGAAATTTTGGTGTAGTCCATTTTTGGTAAAAAAGGAACTTTATTACTGCCTTTTTTTGAGGCCCCAAAGAAAAATTGTCTCAGATCGACCGGAAAAAAAACATTTTCTTATAGAATATGGCCTGTAGATTCCATAATTTCAAACAGTTCCAAGATTGGGCTTACTAGATCAAAAGTTACAGCCCTTTGAATTTTTTTTCGAAATTGGTTTTTAGTCCATAACTTCTGATTGCGAAGTCTAATAGAAAAAGTACGATTCGATTTGGATTCTACGCACCAAAATTAATAAGAACAAGTGTTTTCCCGAGAAATTTTGGTGTAGTCGATTTTTGGTAAAAAAGGAAGGTTATTACTGCCTTTTTTTGAGGCCCCAAAAAAAAATTGTCTCAGATCGACCGGAAAAAAACATTTTCTTATAGAATATGGCCTGTAGATTCCATAATTTCAAACAGTTCCAAGATTGGGCTACTAGATCAAAAGTTACAGTCAGGAGTACAACTGACAAGGATGGATTCATGAAATTTCACTTGATAAGCTTTGGTGGAAGCGGAGGAGAATACTAAAATGACGTTGAACTTTATCCCTTCGCCCCCTAGAAAGGCCTATGAGGAGAAAGCCCAACCTCTGGGGTGAGTGTACCTCTATAATTGTTAAATTAATCGATGTAATACGGTCAGTACGTTTGTCTTGAGCTTCCTTAACCTTTTGTTCGGCACGAAAATCGTAGACATTACTTAAAACAGCCCGTACTTTTTCGCCGGGTGTATTTTCCAGTAAAAGAGAACCATGGCCGGACTGGCCCGGGCAGTGAATGCGAAAACCTATGAAATGAAATGCATCGTTCGCATTTACAAATGTGAAACTTACTCCATCTCCTTTTCTCCCCATAGAAAACAATTAGCGTCTTATTTTCACCACCAGCAGCTTCGTCCAAAGCACAGCCGGCATTTAAATTTTTGAAGTTTTGAGTTTTGACGTACTGTTCCGCCCCGTTGACTCCACCGAGTTCCTCATCTACGGCAGATTGTGTCAGCTAGCCGTGGACAAAGAAGTGCGCGTACCTGGCATAAAGGTAACGTGAACAGTTCTTCGGGGTTCAACTCCGTTCAATTTCAGTCTCCTGATCGCCTCCAAGTACTGTATTCCGGTACACTTGCAATCTTGAGCGCCTCGCGCGTAGATATTCCCTTCGCTGTCAATTTCCGCACCAAACGGCTTATGCGCCCACTGTTCCTAAATTGAAACGTTACACGTTGCGTGTCAGTCAAAATCTCACCTCAAAAACCGGCACGACGTCCATGTGACTGTTAAGTACGATCGATGGAAGATCGCTCTCCTTGCCCATCCACGTCAGGACCACCATTGGATTTTTGGGCACGTCTCGAAAGACGGACACCTTCAAACCGATCTCCTTCGCTTGCTTCTCCAAAAATGTAACGCACGGCTCTGCTCAACGGTTATCAGGGGCCAAAGCAATCTCCAACTTACCATAGTCAATGTCGGGATGGACGGACGGTATCCGCAGGTACTCTCGAAAGTTCTCCACGGCAATGGCGTCTAATTTCTTTGAAGATGTCGTCATTTTTTTCTTCGAAGCAATGACCATTATCTGGTTTGCGTTTTTAATTTATGCGCGATGCTTGTTATCGCCTAGACAAGGTTGTAGACGTGGTCTGCGGTTAGTTGAAGTAAACCAAATGCAACTGACAAAATGATAATTTCGATAACAGCGATGGACAAATATGAGAATAGAATTTTAGCTCTACTTTGAATATCCAGCTTCTAGTAGACAGATCTTGGGGGTTATATATTTGTTAGGACAAAATCTACTAGAATTCGTCTTTCTGAGATCGAGATGCAATCGATTTTGAGGGTGTATGCTGCTTATAAGGTACATATGTCTGATTTTGACAGTGTCTAAGTTGAAATTGCGTAGTGACGTTAAAAAATTTAAAATTTCTAAGAGTAGAACAATATTAGGCATTGTAAATGATAGAAATTCTATAGGGCGTCTAAATTTAGAGGGCCGATTCCCAAATAAATGATTTGATTAGTAGAATGGTATTCGTAAGCCGTGGTGGAATTTATGCCCGTCTTGTCTGCGTCGTTTGATTTCTGTAGAGCATCGTTTTATTAATAGACTTCAGAAATCTGGGCGACTAGACGTCGAGAATTTAGATCATGTTCAGTCCTCTTAATTAGGGTTACAACTTCTAATTCGGCAACGTGGAAAAATCTAGCATATTAGAAAAAAATGGGATTTGATCTATTACTCTAGCTCTTGTTTGATTCATAGGGAGGGAATTAAGTAATTAATAATTAAAGATGGCCGTTGAAATTAACAATTCGACTTTTGACTATTTTTTTTGGATCGTCGAGTTTCAGCGTAGACATTTCTAAGTATTTCTAATCGTACGCTTTTTGAAAATTCACATAAAAAAAATTATCGTGCATTTGGAAGAAAACAAAAACTTGAATTTCGAACCTTAACTTAACTATTTTCTCTGTGGAGATTTCTTTCAATGCGTCCAAAAATTCGCACTTAGATCACGTGAAAAGGGTTTTCATGCTAGAACGATCAATGACAACCGGAAAACATCCCCATCCCCCTTCTTTGCGCAACGCCGTCCTCGACGGAGAGGAAAATCTTCAGGGGTATACAATTTTTGGAACAAGTTTTTAACTTTAAAATTTAACTGGTCGCGAAAAACAGATTTAGGATGATTTTCTTTCTTCTTTACACCCAAAGAATGGGACAAAATCGTGTAGATAATGTAATTGACTAGTACCTACACTGAGGCGCAAATTAATGTCAGCAAATTACTTTGTCAGCAAGATAAAGTAACAACGACATGAGTATTTAAACAGGGCGGAACTATTTTAAACAGAATAATCCTCGCGAATATCACGTTGATACAGCTCCCCAAATACGTGGATTAGTTACCGGCTAAATTCCATATATGTGCGAGACGTAAAAGAGAGAATAACTTAAACTACCCTCTTATGGGGCGTTGAAACTTAATCAAAGTTGTTTTATGAACCCAATTTGTAAACGTTGATTTTAAGACAAGGCAGTAGGTTGATAAACTTTCATTCTTCATGTCCGATCCACCTCATTTCTGCTGCGCGCCCCCATTTCGTGGATGCTCCTCTACATTTATGGCTGTGCTTTAAATTTGAATGAGCTTTTCGACTCGCGGGCACAATTTATGACGACAATTTGATAATTAAGTATCGAACGTAATCTAGATTGGCGCTTTGATAAACCCGCAATTATTATCAATTAAATGCACATTCACAATTTAATCAGTAGGTATAATTAACGTCCATTCAATTTTCATAGTTACGGAAAAGTTCGTTTAATTCGATACTCTATGCCTATAGGGGCCCTGGGGCAAACAAACATTGTCTCCGCACAGCAGTGTTACACTGTTTTTAATATTCCACAGCTTCAATCGGAATTAAATAAGTCACTCGGAAGGGTAAACGACTCGATGGATTGCACAAACTGAAATGGATTCTACCATTGAATAAATAGTGTTTTTATTCAATGATTCTACTTTGTTGCACTTTATGTATGCAGACGGGAGGAATTTTCAAACTTCGGCGTCTTTCTCTTATTTTCTGTATCATTAAAATTTAAATTGTGCGAGTGATTATATCCCTCTCTCTTTATGTGTTTTAGTACTAGTGCTAAATCGCTATCAATATTATTCACAATTTCTAGTCAGAGAAGCCATTTCAGGAACAGAGGCAAATTTTCACGTGGTCTAAAACACGAGCCTTGAAGCCCAGAGGTCAAAATGCTGAGATTATTCTGAGTGCTTGAAAGTACTTGACGCATCGTTTAACTCTCCACCAGAGTGTTCAACAAAAGTCGTCCGAATAAGCATTACATTTTCATACAGGTCATTTTCCAACTCATAAATTACTAATTGTCCCTTTGAAACTGGAATTTCCATTTTCACCTAGATCCTTTTACATAAACGAGTATAACGTTTACAAAGCCCCACAAAAAACTTTAAAATTAAATTCGGAACTACAACTACTCACCAAACAATAGCGAAAGTTAATAGCTGTTCTCTAAAGGGTTTCCAGATAATAGAAAAGCCACACGGCGACCAATTTCACGGTGGCAGAATCTAATGTGGCTCCAATTTTTTTTACAATAGAAAATCCCCCCTCGTTACAGCGGTTTAAGTGTACTCGATTAAACAAAATAGTCGCAGAGAGTTCCCGTGTAATCTCGAAATGCTTTCCGGAAATTGCGTGTGTTGTCTCAAGATGACGTCGTAAATTTGAAATGTATCGAACGTCGCGTCTTCGACAGGAGAAATTTGAATTTTTACGTGCGGTGCGTTGGTAGCAATAAATCGTGGCATGAGTCGATATTTGATGCCGAAGTGAGGTTATCAGGGCTAACCCGTTGTTTTCATTGCAGAGTATCTACCATAAAACAATTTACTGAAATAACCTATACTCGATTTACACCATTTTGAACTTAATATAGCTCTCTGTACTCCCCACTTTGATCGCTTATAATCTACAAGTACCTCCACTACTAGAACTGTCTAGAAGAAGTCTAAAGCTTTTTGGTGTATGTTGTTAAATTAAAAATAAGTTTTATACATTTTTCACTTCTAGAAATTTAATTTTATATTTATGTATATCAATTTACGACTTTTTTATATTTTGTTTTGGGCGAAAGTAACAAAATTCCCTGTGGATAAGCCCACGGTAAGCTCAGGAAAAGTAAGTAAGTAAACCGGATAGACGCCACTTAGTCTTTACTAAATTTCAAAAAGAGAAAGTATTATTACCACAAGGCAGACTAAGGGAGTGTATCTAAAAACGGTATGCAATCAAACGTTATATCATGGAGTCCCCTTATACCTCAAGAACGGATTATCAGAAAAGGGTACTCACAAAGGGCGATTGAGACGTCTTCAAGAAATATATCCATTAGTGATGTCAAAACAAAAGCTATTTAGGTTAAAAAAAATACGCTTTATCTGCACAAGAGTTGTGCACAATTTATACTTGTCTTAATTTAACGTAAGAAATCCTTTTGAACAGGGGCGGACTGGGTACTTCTGGGTACTTACGGGCCAGGTGGAATTGCATAGGTTACGGGCCATTAAAGTATTAGTGTAGTAAAGAAGGTGGCGGGGGGGGGGGGGGGTTTAACAGCTTTTTTTTTAAATTGCAGCTGATAATTAAAAGTAACAAAATATACAATCCACACGAGGTGCGTCGCCTATTATTGTATTTCAGCACTTTCATGCTACGACAGAAAATGATAAATTCATTGTAAAACACTTTAATTAAAACAGCATTTTTTAACAACCTAACATCAACCCCAATTAGAGAAACGTGTTCATAATGTATTAATAGTGCAAGAAACTAAATACAGCACATACTTATAAATTTCCACGGGCCATTATGATCTACAGGCCAGGTGGCAATCGCCACCCGCCCCCCGGGCCAGTCCGCCCCTGCTTTTGAAATCACATATTTAAAAAGAAAGTTCAACAAAAGAGCTTCGGATGAATTTGGCTCACTCAGAAGTACTTTTTTGCTTACTTGTGGATATTAAATTAAACAACTAATAGCTTCTTGCATCATGGCTTGAAATAGCGGCGAAATGGTTGACCAGCTGTAACGTCAAATAATTTTCGAACCGTTTTCGAAACCCACTTTCGTATCCAAATACTAAATATTCATTTTGTCAATTAATTACACAGTCATCCCAATTAGTCGAGCTTTACTTACTATCGTCGCAAAGAGAATAATTTTCATTTGCGCGTTTTTCAATGTTTAGTTTGGAGAGGGCATGCTTTTTATCGGTTTTTATATTGGGCGCCCTTCCTCTGAATAATGGTGCAGATGCCGGTTTTCTATGTAAGGTACTACTCCAATTTTACATATTTTAGGCGCTCTAATACATATATTCATGCAGGAGTACGAATTTTAAGTGTTATAAAAGATTTTACAATCAGATTTATGGCCGGCGCATTATTCCCAGGACTTGACGTTATAACAAAAGTGTTTTTACTTCGCCTTTCTCCATTTGCTTAAGCTAGGATTATTCGCGACTATTATTGTATTTCGGTACACGTGCTGCCCGATTTTATGCGTTGTTCACAAGTCCTTGTTACGAATGTAGCATTAGGGGCTGCGATCGGGCTTTTAGTGATATTGCACAGAGGGGTTTTCTTTCACCTTTCGCAAGCTAATCGAATATTATCATTTATGTGTAACGAACACATTGAAAGAATTTATAGTTGCCAATGAAAATGATCGTCGAACTCCCAGGATTTGTGATGCACTCAAGTTTACAACACAAATACAAAAATTAATTAATTCAATGCAATTATTCAGCAGTCTTGATCTACAAACTTAAAGGAATGACCAAATATATAAATTTAACTTTGGGCCAAGATCATGTAATCAAAGCATAAATTGAGCAAACATTTACACAAAAAATAAACACGATTTAAAACCATATAAAATTAACCTTGTATTCATGTTAAATCCATGTAATAAAATAAAAAAATAAAGCCATCTTCGAACTGTCGATAATCTCCGACCGACTTTTATCTCGTATAAGATTTGCTTGAGTGAGCATTAGGATTTACAACCTTAACGCCACAAATTGGTTTTATAACGTAACTAGCCATTCCAAATATAGCGCAACGAAATATTTTGCACCTTGAACCCCAACGCTTTTGTGGTAATAATTTATTTAAATGCGAGTACATTAATCCGATCGTGCAATAACCTGAAAATATTCACGTACGAATTAAGACCGCCTTGAGACATTATCACAATGACAAATTGATCAAGTACTAAAGCTTTACGATGTTTTAAACTTAATTCGCTACCGATTAATACTGTTATAGTTATTTACGTTATAAGTCCGGTAGGTTACTTGTAACAGTACGAGTTAGACATTATGGACGAGGCGACGTTAGGAGCCGAGTCAAGAATGTCTTAAACGAGTACTGTTACAAGTACTACCGGACGTATATCGTAACGTATTTTATTTCATACTGTAAGTGTGTTTTGTATCATTATTTCATTTCAAAGATTACAAAATTTTATTATATTGTAAAAATCGCATTACCTTGTTTCTGTGGCAACGGCCGTTGCTATAGTTCGTAGTTTGTTGACATTGAATTTTTTTCACTTATAATTGCACAAGAGGTTTGTATTTTACCGAGTAAATTTGGGTTGTTTAGGTAATGAAAATTTGTTGCCTAGCAATTAGACGAGAAAAACTGTCAACTAATAAAAATGCGACACCGCAGGTGGAGCATTTTTAGGTTGACAGTTTTTCGAGTCCAATTGCTAAAAGGAAACAGATTTGAATTGCAACAACCCAAATTTACTCGGTTTAAATACAAACCTCGAGTGTAATTCGGCAGGACAATTTAACGAACAAGAAATTCACCAAACTAGTCAATTATTGACAGACGTCAAGCTAATCATATGGGAAAGGATAATGCGATAATTGTTCCAAAATGAATAAGTGAAAAAACCACTAGTGCATTTGTCGCTGGAAAAGTTGCAGGTAACTTTTGCCGCTGTCAAAGTGACAATTACACTGCGGCTTATGCGATTTTTTATACATGAGTTGAATTGTCACTAAAAAATGGAAGGTATAAACGTGGTGGGATGTTCCACTGTTCCCGATACAATCCTGTCGAAATCTCATGAAGCAACCGAAAAGTTGGTTCCTAAGAAGTCGGCCGCAAGGTATGAAAAAGAGTACTAAGTGTTTTGCCAATGGAGGAACGAACATGGGGCGAAACAAGTAGAGGAAAACGTCATGTTGGCATACTGTTTGGATGCAGTAAGTTTTTGAATTGAGATTTTTTTTGCCTGGGTTTCGGTGTTAAAGCGTCATGGGGCATGGAAAAGCTCATCGGCGGCAGAAAAATACATCGAAGGCTCGGTAGAAGGAAAAGTTAAGATTGCCCGTATGATACAACTGATACAAGGCGGCGAAAATTTCATTGAAGTTCTACAGCAGAAGGAATCAAACATTACTAACTCGACATCCAGTAATAACCCAGGCGTTAGTGTTGAGGACAATACAAATTGTTTCATTACAATCAATGTTAATGTTTGAAATAAAGAATTACAGCCAAATTTATGTTGGGGTTTTTAATTAATTGTGTGAAGATGTCAAATTTGATGTAAACAAATAACAGTCCGGTAAGTGTTGCTTAGCGACACTTACCGGCTCTGATGCTGTAATAACTCACCTACCGGACTCAAAATGATAGTGTAATCGAACATCTACCGGACAGTATGAAATAAATGTTTTTTTCTACAACTGTCAAAAAAACCTGTCATTTTCTGACGAATTTCGAAGCGCGAAGTACTGGATTTTTAAACGGTTAATTAATAAGTAAGGTTGCCCTTGACAACGTGCGCGAAATCGTCAACAGTGAAAAAAAGTATTTCGCGCACGTGACAAAGTTGAACTTAAACAGCAAATTTAATTAACAATCGGTTCAGTTGTAGAAAAAATATTGTATATAACGCTAGCGCGAAGTCATTTCGCGCATTTGACTGATATTTTAACTCGGCTTCGCCTCGTCAAAATACCTTCAGTCTCAATGCGCGAAATTGAACTTCGCGCTCTTGTTATATAAATAACTATTTTATTATACTTGAATCACAATCTCCGTTTTAAACACTCAAATGCGTGCGAAAAAAGGCCTTTAAAACACACGTGCTTTAAAGTTGCTAAGTAACGATACTTCAAGTATGACTTTTGAAACTGTCATCTGGATGAAATAAAAATTCCTCTTAGGTCGCTTTCTGTAAATGCAGAACATTTCTTTGGCTTTTGTACCTATCCTTTGGTTGAAGCTTTCACAAATGCACGTAATTTAGGGTATGCTTCCAAATCTGTTCCACTTTTTAATCGCAGCATTGTTTTAAAGTTTTGAATGAATGCAACAAAATATAGAAGATTTAAATACCTTTGACATTTCCTTCATATATGCCAGCATTATGGATGCATTTAAGACTGTATTCGTAAGTAACTTCCTATTCATCCATGGAAATAACTTTTCATATTCTTTATAATAGGCTTTACTGGAGTTGGATTTTACACCTACCAACGTTTGTTTAGATTTTACAACAATCGATTTAATGGACGGTGTATTATCCTTTTCAACGGAAATCGTTTTATTCACAAAGACGACGATTTTTATAAGCAAACGTCAAGTGACATTTCCATGGCAATCGTGAAATTTCGAACACCCAGCCCACTTAATTAAACATGTATTCGAGTATAACGTCAATATGACTGCATTGTATTCCCTATTTTAAATTATACTGCAGGTATAATAAAAAATACTATAAGATACACGTGTATAATTGGTCTTTAAAGCACTTGCAACGTTAAAGGCACTCCGCTATGCGTCGTGCCCTTAAACTCGTTGCGCGTGCTTTAAAGACTTGATTATACACTTGTATCTTAATATACTATTACGTCATCCCATTTCAATTTAACTCAACTCATTTGACAAGTGAAATGTCATTCGTTC